CCAATCCATAAGGAGTCATTCCATTACTTTCTAAACTTCCAGATGTGATATCTAATAAGATACCACCAAGGTTGCCTTTTATGGGAGACATACAGCATGCCATTAACTTCATACCAGGAGCAATCATTCCTAACAAGCCTGCCTATAGGATGAGTCTGCAAGAATATGTCAAAGTCCAAAGGCAAGTTAAAGAGTTGTTGAAGAAAGGGTTGGTTCGAGAAAGTATCAGCCCTTATGCTATACCTGTTATTCTAATACCTAAGAAAGATGGGAGTTGGAGAATGTGCATTGACTACCAAGTTGTCAATAAGATCACTATTAAGTATTGGTTTTTGATACTTTAGCTCAATGATATACTAGACTAGTTGCATGGTGCCACTACCTTTTCAAATATTAACCTTAATAGTAGATACCACCAAATTGAAATTTGGCCAGGAGATGAGTGGAAAACTACTTTCAAGACTAGAGATGGCTTGTATGAGTGGAAAATGATGCCTTTTGGGTTAACAAATACCCTTAACACATTTACACGCTTGATGAATTAGGTATTAAGACCCTTTATTGGAAAATTTATTGTTGTGTACTTTAATGATATTCTTATTTACATCGAGAGTCAAGAAGAATACTTAGATCACTTGCAGCAAGTTTTGCAAGCCTTACGAGAACATAAGCTTTATGCTAATCTCAAGAAGTGCACCTTCCTTACTAGTGAAGTTGTGTTCTTCGGATACATTATTACTGCAGAGGGTGTTCAGGTTGATCCAAGCAAAGTTGCAGCCATTAACAGTTGGCCAATTCCAATATCTATCCAAGAGGTTTGAAGCTTCCATGGATTAGCTTTTTTCTACAAGAGGTTCATCTATAATTTTAGCTCTATTACTACACCACTTACAGATTGTATTAAAGAAGACAAATTTCAGTAGACAGAGCAAGTGTAGAAAAGCTTTGAGGAGTTTAAGAAGAAGTTGATCAAAGCTCCAGTCCTAGCTTTTCCTAATTTTGACAAGTGTTTGAAGTAGTTGTGATGCTTCTAACATTGGCATTGGTGCTGTCTTAAGCTAGGAGGGACATCCCATCACATTTTTCAGTGAAAAGCTTAAAGATGCTAAGCTTAGATATTCTACCTATGACAAAGAGTTCTATGCCATTGTCCGAGCTCTCCAATATCAGAGTCAATATCTCCTGAATAAAGAGTTTATACTCTTTTTGATCATGAGGCACTCAAGTATTTAAATTTTCAATGGAAGATCAACCATAAATATGCCCATTGGAGTGAACTCTTACAGTCTTATCTATTCCTTACTAAGCATAAGGTTGAAACTTTGAACTCCATAGCTAATACTCTTAGCCATCGACATGTGCTGCTTACAACAATGTAGACTAAAGTTGTTAGGTTTGACCTTATTAAATAGTTGTATTAGGATGATTTTGATTTTCAAGGAGTGTGGGAAGCAACTATAAATTAACCTTTCCACCAGTTCTATAGATGTGATGGGTTTTTATTTTGAGGCAAAGCCTTATGCATTCTATAGGGTTCCTTGAGAGAAGTCATAATTTAGGAAGCATATGACGGTAGATTAGCTGGACATTTTAGATAGGATAAAACAACTAATCTAGTGAAAGAGAATTTTACTGGCCTTGATTTGAATGAGATGTCAACATGCATATATAGAGATGTAGAATTTGCCACTTGGCCAAATCCAATGGTCAGAATACAGGGTTATACACGCCTTTGCCTATTCTAGAAGCACTTTGGGAAGATGTGAGCATGGATTTTATTTTGAGTTTACCACAAACTTAGAGGCAAAAAGATTTTGTTATGGTAGTTGTAGATCGTTTCGAAGAAATGGCTCATTTCATTCCATGTCAGAAGACTAATGATGCTGTTCAAGTAGTAGATTTGTACTTTAAAGAGATTGTTTATCTTCATGGCATTCCCAAAACTATCACTTCTAATCATGATGTGAAGTTTCTTAGCCACTTTTAGCAGACGCTATAGAAGAAGATGGAAACTAAGCTATAGTAGTGCTAGTCATACCCAGACAGATGGTCAAATTGAAGATGTAAATAGGATTCTTGGGAATCTTCTTCGCAATTTTATGAGGATGAATTTGAAACATTGGGATTTCCTTCTTGCTCAAGTTGAATTTACCTATAATAACTTAGTCAACCAAGCAATTGGGAAGTGTCCATTTGAAGTTGTTTACGGAACTCATCCCCTTAATCCGCTAGACTTGACCCCTTCACTTGATAAGCATCAATATTGTTTTGATGTTGACCAAAGGGCTAAGGAAATTAAGAAGTTGCATGAGCAAGTTCGCGAGCAAATCTAAAAGCAAAATTTGAGATACAAAGCTTAACGTGACAAGCATCGGAGATAGAACACTTTTAATATGGAAGACTTAGTTTGGATACATCTGCGAAAGGGATGATTTCTAAACAACCAAATGCCAAGCTGTCCCTAAGAGTTGATGGTCTATTTAAGATTGTGCAAAAGATTGATAACACTGCTTATAAGATAGAATTGCCTGGTTCTTATGGAGTGTTTGCCACCTTTAATTTTGCTCATTGATCCCCTTATGTTGACGATGATGCCGAATTTAACTCGAGGGCGAGTTTCGTTCAACCTGGGGAGGATGAAACGGAACAACAATAGCAATGAAGGAATGGGAAGAAACACGTGGAGGAGCAAAAAACCGTTGTCTATTGGGTCACCACCATTAACACAATAATAAAGCAATTGTAACTTGCCATTTGTTTCCCTTTGCTCTATTTCATACTTAGAAAAGTATAAATAGCATAGTGTCTCCGTGTACTGGCATGTCAGATTGAAAGCAATAAACAAGAGTTTGTTTCCCATTCAGTTTCTGAGCCAGGTTGATTGATCAAGAGAGAACAACTTAGCTCTCGTTCGGTTTCTAAAAAGAAATGAAATGGAATAAATTAAAAAAATTAAGATAAAAATGAACTAAATCACCTTTCCTCTTATGGTGAGCATGATAAAACTCATTAATATATACTATAAAAGTGGGAATCATCATACCCTTCAAAAATATCGTAAATCATAATTCTCAATTCCATGAATTAAATTACTCCACTTTCTTAGAAATGTGTTCTATTTTCTTTAATCATATTATTTTAACCTTATTTTTTCAATACATTCCATTCCAATCATGCGTACTGTGAAATTGTGATAGTCTCTCCTTCCTTGAATCTAGATCTCTTTCCTTCCTATATCATGCATTGCTGGGGCAATGTCTCAGAACTAGGAAACGACGCAGGAAATTGTATCTGCTGTCCAAAATTACACTTTGCATCAAATTATTGGTTGACCTCAATATTAAGAAAGCAATTAATTACGCATTTCTATACTTCCACTAGTTAACTTGAAATCTTTCATATTTGCCAATTTATTGTGAAAGCACATATCCCGGTAGACAAGTCAAAATCCTTCTATGAGAGTTTTATGCGTTTATATTATTTTTATATTTGTGTTTTATATTTATTAAAAAATTAAAATTTTATAAATTTATCTTATCATCAATATGAGTAATGCAGATTTAATATGGATTGACCAATTTAATATTAAAATTATTTTTAATTTTTATAAATTAATTATCTATATGTATTTTGAACAATCTGGATTTAATATTAATTTTTTCTAGAATTCTTATATTTTTTATTTTAGTAAATATACTATTAAAAATATAAAAAAAGATAACCTTCAAATTAGCACTTTAATTAAAAAATTTTAAGAAAAAATTGTGAATTACAAATTTTAAATTTTGACTATGAAGAATATATGAGATAGTTAATTTATAAAAATAGTTAATATTAAATTGGATAATTCAAATTAAATCTACATTATCCAAATTAATAATAAGATATATTTATTATACTTTATAATTTTTATTTTGACAAATATAAAATAAGAATATAAAATAAAACTTGTAAATTTGAACAATCAAGATATTTGTCACCTGACGAGCCCTAAAGCCGGACGCGAGCTACCCCATGCAAGGACTGTTGGGTGTCGTTGAAAAAATTTTGTTCAATTGGGTGGAAAAATTATTCAAATTTGCTTTAGTAGCATATTGGACATCACAGTAAGCCCTTTTCGACAAGAATCAGATAAAACAAGCAAATGTTATAGTAAAGCTTCTTCATGAAACGTGGCATACCTTTTATTAAAGGAGAACTTGAATTCCATTGAAACTCAAAAACCTTTTGAGAATAAATTTAACTTATAACCTCAACGTAACAAAGAGAATAAGAAAAATACTTGTACATTTAATCCTATATATACTCTTTTTTTTTATTTCATTATCTGGTATCTGGAGAATCCTTGGAGTATTACCACCCTCACCTAGACTAATTCAAAAACACATGTAATTTTTTATATATTATTTATTCCATTAATATTATTAACACCTTAAAATTAAATTCACTTGTTTAGATTTGTTTGGATAAAAATAACTAAAATAATCTTAGCCTAAAAAAAAATTCAACAGTTTATAAATTAGATGTGTTTAAATCCTCTAAAGTTGAGATGTATTAATTTTTATGAAGTTTTCTTTTTTTTTTAGTATGTTTCATAATTTTATTATTTTTATAAAATATAAAATACTATCTTCCCTTCTCTAAAAGGAAAACTTTATTAAAATTCATAGACCAGGATTTAAATCCAAATTACGCAACCAACACAGGAAAAAAAAATGTTCATAGTGGCTAGATTTAAAAATGCTAGACCAACAAGAAAAAGATTAACTTCAAATCATACATATTATCCATAAAACGATACCCCATTTGAATGAATGAATAATAAACAATTGTGCATAAAAGAAATGGTGATAATGCTACTACTATACATAAGATTTATTTGATGTTTATAGTCATATTTTGCTTTCATATTTACGTAATCTGTTTGTCTGTGCCAACAAGTTTATGAATGAGGAGGTTCCTAGACATTGGCGGGAACGAACTGGAACCATTGACTCCGAGGGTCATCCAAACACAAAGAATCCTCGTTACGAATGCAGATACATTTGGCAGTGACGATGGCCGATGTGTTGGAATCTTTCTTCAAGCACAAGTGATGATGATTCTCCTGCTTAATACCCAAATGAAGCTTCGAGAGAGAAAGGGGTTTTCCAAGCGCTTTTGTGGCTGTTGCAGTTATGGCCAGCAGAGACAAGCACAGGAAGGCCTTCACCATTTGCACTTAGGCACTTGTCGGTGCCAACCAATAGGATTTGGTTTCCTTTTTTGGCATAGTGCCATCTGCTTTTGTTTTCACAGCTTCCTAATTCAACCTCGTCCTTCTCGTTCACATCACACATTGCCCACTTAGAGGGTGGTACAATATAGAATGTTGTGGGAGTTTGGAACCACGATCTACATTATTGTAAATGTACATGTAATTAGTGTTATAATTGCCACTTATTAAAAAAGTGAACTTTGAAACATGGACTGCAAACTTGGAGGTTGGAGCCACAAATGAAGATAGAAAGTTTACCTTGGTTCGTCCTTTGGAGAAGTTGAAGCATCTGAGTTAAGTTAGGATTTTTTAGCTGATTCCAAGATGAATCCAACACTCCAAAGGTATCTTCAACGTCCACTCGCTCCTCTCTCATGTAATAACTTCCTTGCAGGGTCCACAAGGCCCAGTCCATGTCTCTTCCCGCAAGGTATGTCTGAATGCAAGTCAAGAACTTGAGATCTTCCTCAGAACCCCCAGTTTGATCAAACCCAAACTCAGTAAATATCAAAGGAACGGCATTCTCGCCGGTGGTCACGAACCCAGCTCTGTAATCTATGCCCTTTACGCTTTGGGCACAGATTCTGTTCAATGGTTGCTTCGTCCATATGCCGTCTAATTTAGGGTTCCTATCCCGGACCACGAGTACAAATGAGTCTCGAACACCAGCTTCTTACCTATGTCTAGATTCAGGGCTTTTTTCCGCAGAAATTGAAGTTCGGTATCGTAGTTCAATCCTGAGATCACCACTAGGACTTGTGGGTTCGCTTTGTGTATGGCTCTGGCTGCGTGGCTCATATACTTGTACCAATCTCCCTGGTTTTGGCGTGGACCGTGTAGCTCATTCCTCAAGCTCATTGCTGCCACCTGTTGTGAATATTACATGCATCAGTATTATCCTATGTCCACCTTATCTTTTTGTTTATATATTTTAATAATAATATATGGAATCGGTAAATGAGTTCCATTGAATGAAGCTCGTCATGCATGTAGTTATATATCAGCAAAGAATTATGCGAAATAGAGAAATAAAGATGGACTGAAAATTAAAGCAGAAGACATACAGCAGAATTTCCAGCGAAATGCTTGGCAGCTAGGGTAAGCCCTTGTATCCACTCCTCGGGATCAAAGTGGCGATCATGGAAAAACCCATTCTCATCATCATCGTTGCAGCACCATTTGGGTTTGCTCACATGGTTATCCAGCAGAACCCTAACCTTGTGAGCCCCAAGCTCACGAACCACAACTTCAAACACCTGCACATGAGTCATCACCAAGAACGAAGGGTTATTTTTCTCCATGCCTTGGATGGCGTCTGGTAAGTCCAAATTAAGAAGAGTGTCTCCAACAGTATCATTGCCATGACGCGTCCACATGTGAATGGCGTATGTGAGACGAACGCAATTGAACTTGTGTTGAGCGATCTGAGCCACTATATGCTTCAGTGGCTGCTTATGAAAACCCTCAGGGATCATAGGCTCTAGATGACCTGCCCAGTTCACACACGCGAATTTGGCTCTGCGTCCTGTGGATTCATCCAGGATCCACTTGTTCTGGGTTGAGAGAGGGTAAGAACTGGAAAAAAGACATGAAGAAGCGAGTAGAAGAAAAATGATCAAGAGGGATTTTGAAGTTAATCGTAGCATCTTGTGTGAGGGTGCGAGACTTGGATTGTGCAATTGATCGAACAGGGATGAGTTGAGTAGTTCTTTTCTATGGCTTTATAGGGAACATTTTTAAACCGATAGGCAAATCAAATCATTCAGATTGGCTATGAATTATAATACTTATCCTAATCTACTTCCCATTATTATCATTCAGCGAATTAATGACACAGAATATTTTTGCCATTATCAGCAATAGATTTTCATATCTATCAAGTTCCAATCAAATCCAGTTGAATCTAAGGGAAATCATTTTATCAAATTCTATTATATTTGTTTTTAAGCTTCAAAAAATATCAAATTGAAAAATAAAATATATTAAATTGTAGAAAATAAATATGATACAGTTGATGAAAGATAATATTATAAATATAGGAAGATAGATAATAACATCGTAAAATTTTAAAATAACTAAATAATGAGTCATTTTTTAATTTTTATAAACATAAATCCAAAAGATATCATAAGATTTGAAAGTCACTAAATAATAATTATTTTTTATTAGTGTAAATAAACATAAAAAATAAGTTATACATTTTATAAAATCTTCTATAAAATAAATTTATTTTCTTATAGAATGTATAAATTATCTAAAAATAACTTATTTTCTAAGTTTAAATCAATGTGCGCTAAATTGTTCATCATATTTTATTTTTATAATTTGATATTTTTATTTGAAAGATAATGTAAATTTAAAAGAAGTTAATTTTTCAACTAACCGTCTAACCCTAACACTGACGGCAAGCTAACCCAGCCCCAACACTTTCTATGAAGATGACAATGACTTTAATTTAAAGGAAATAATGCAAATACCTATATATGAAGCTATACATTTAAATAAATTATATAATTATACATTTGTAAAGATATCTGCACTTGCATGTAAATCTACTTTTCTCTCACAACATATTTGCACTCGTAGAACGCCACTGCTTTAGTATTACATTGACTGAATTGACACTACCAAAAAAAAAAAAAAGCTGATTAATGGGGGAACAAATTCATCGGTAAAAACACTATCACTAATTTGTTAACAATAGAATTTGCAATTCCATCACTAATTAGTGACAGAATAATAGAATAATGATAGAAAATTTCTTTACTAAATAAGGATAAGTTATTTTGACTTTATGATATATGCATTCTATCACAAATTTTTTTAATGGACTTATTCTGTTGCAAATTTTTAGGTTACCTAAAACATCATTGCCACATATCCTGGTAGATCAATGCCACATGATCACCACCTTATCACCTAGTGGACTCATGCCACCTCAGCACCACTTCACCACCATATTATTTGCTACTGTCATGTCAAATATTATTATTTTAATTGTGCATTGGCACAGCTTGAGTTTGCAAACTCATACTCCCTATGCCTTAAGTCCACCTAATTGTTAGTTGAGCTGAAAGAAATCTTCAATTTTAATTGATAAATTACATATATATAATTAATCTCACACACACATATATGAATGAAATATATTATTTAAATTTACTTATTTTTTTAACATTATATTTATTAATACAGAAAAATTAATTTATATATAATAATTTTTTTATTATATTTTATTTTAAAAAAATTATTTTTATAATAAATTTAATATTAAATTGAAAAATTTTATTATCATTATATATTATATTACAATTTATATCTATATAATATATAATATTTAAATTTTATTTATTAATATTTTTTATTTATTTTTATTTGTAAATCATAATAATTAGTAAAATTTAAATTATTATTATTAATATACAAATAATTTTAAATTTTTAATTATTTTAAATTTTAATTTTAAAATTATTTATTTATATTATAGTAATAAATTATATATAAATATATATTATAAATAATAAAATTAAATTTAAAATATTTATTATGGAGTTAGTGATAGAATTATGATCGAAAGCTTTGAGATGGAATTTTTCATTGTAAATTCTGTCACTAAATTAAAATAAAATATCTTAATTAGCGACAAATTTTTTGTCAATAAATTCTATAGCTAAACATTTTTGATGGATTATGATAGAATAATAACATAATTTTAGCGATGAAATGTTTTGTTGCTAATATGGTGATGAAATTAGCGATAGAGATTTATCCCACCGCTAAGATTTGAAAGCCACTAAATAATAATTATTTTTATAAGTTCAAGTAAACATAAAAAATAAGTTCTACTTTTTATAAAATATTTATAAAATAAATTTATTTTCTTATAAAAATATATAAATTTTCTAAAAATAATTAATTTTCTAAGTTTAACCAAATGGGCCTAAGTTGTTCATCATATTTATTTTTATAATTTGATATTTCTATTCGAAAGATAATTTAAATTTAAAATAAGGTAATTTTTTTAAACTAACCGTCTTACCCTTACACTGATGGGAAGCTATAACCCGGCCCCAACACTTACTATGAAGATCACAATGACTTTAATCTAAAGGAAATAATGCAAATACCTAGATATGAAGCTATACATTTAAATAAAAGATATAATTATATATCTGTAAAGATATATGCACTTGCATGTAAATCTACTTTTTCTCTTAGAACATAGTTGTACTCGTAGAAGGCTACCCCTTTAGCATTACATTGACTCAATTGATCCTCCTATCTCATTCTAAACTGAAGATTTTTCGCATATGCACTTTGTCAAAAAAAAAAATTGTGGTTTTGTTTCTTGGAATTTTGATTATGGTATTTGAATTATGAATATTAGAGATCTGGGGACTCAACCCCCTTGCTATAAGGAATTATGGGGAAATAGAGAGAGAGAGAGAGTGTGTTCGCGCACGTGCTAAGCTCAGTTGAGTTTTATAGGTGGGGGAATGGCATTAATTAAGTGCTGTAAAAACAAATTTTATTATAATTTGGGTCTAAGCAAATTTGATATTATTCTGTAGGCTTTGGGGCCTTATTGTAATATTTTTTCACATCAAAAATACTATTTTACCTTTTATTTGGTTTGAATTCGAAACCTGTGTGAATCCTCAAAGCAATGGAATAAATCATGTATGACACAATATTCACTATGCACAAGATAATGTCTACACATGATGATTTTTCAATCCGCTCAGGCAAAAAAAAAGAAAAAAGAAATAATCCACTAAAGATGATCGATCAATGAAAAGCAGCAATGAAACATCAAAGTCCAGCATCATTCTAACAAAACCCACAAGAGTAGCACGGCAAGTATGATCCCCATAAATTAATTCTTACACATGAAAGGTCATTTATTATCATTTTTCAATTTTACATCTATTATAATTTAATTTTAATAGGAGTAAAGTTGATTTTTTTTTTAAATTTTAACACATTTTAAATGAATTAACTGTCATTCCTTGGCTTCAGTGAAGTTGTTAAAAGTGTCTCATAATAAAAACTAGAGAAAGTATTATTTCTATGTTTTCATATCACTTTTCCTAATTATTGTTTGCATAGGATATAAGAGAGTGATAAATTCTAAATGAAAATATAGAATTAACATTAATACTTAATGGGAAAAATAATGCCTGGTTACATGATATGTGATGCCAACATCACTGGTGGCTCATTAAAGGGCCCATTGACTAAGTAAACACAAGTTTGATTTTAATATCACTTTATTATAGAGTCTTATTCTCTTTTTTCAAAAAAAACTAGTTTAGGCATAGTCTACAGCACAACTGTTTATATGGCCAGATCCTCTCAATCTTAGAGTCTTTATGATGTGGGACATAACAATATGTCTAAAACACCACACTTTCATTTAATTCATTGTTCAAGTTAAGCAATTAACTATTTGCATATATTTTTTGATCTTGTACCTTTAACAACCTGGCTTACGAGGAAATTTTAACTATTTGTAGGTAAAAATTTTATAACTGCTGGAGGGGAAGAAATGCCTCGGTTGTTTCCTTTGTGCCATAGTAGTTTATTTTAGGCATTTCTTGGCTACTTCAACGGTTTGACTCAATTCACTCCAATTTATTCTTGGTCCCACCTGAATTCATGTGTCCTCTAATAAAATAAACTGATACTCTTTTTGAAACCATGCATCATACATATTATACAATCATGAACCATTGCAGACCAATAGAGATGTCACCAGCTCATTAATTACTCTGCCGATTCCTGCATTGTTCACCTGCACAAGAACTTTTTACAAGGTTTCATTCATGTACGTCATGAGATTCATCAAAACTAGCGTGAACCAAAGAAGAACACTATCACACCAGAGCTATAGTTCATTCAAAGTAACTAGTTTGTTCCTAAACATGTATGCTTTCACTAACTAAACAACAATCTTTGCTGAATCTATCATTTGGAGTGATGGGCTGAAAGTTGTAGAGAACCTTGAAATAAAGAATTAACAAGAACACCTGAAAAGGAGAGGTATGTGGGGTTCTCTCCATTTTCTGCTACTTCGTTTGCGTATCTTTGATTCGCTAATTAATAATCTTGACAACATATGGTGAAAGCCATCGCCAAATGTTGTCTTAATTTGATTTATTTAAATCACTTATGGCGAGGGCCTGTTGCCATAAGTATTCCTTGGACACAGACAAACTGAGTTCGGGCATATTAAATTAATTTTTAATTTATAAAATAATAAATTATATAATTAATTTATAAATTTTTTTATGGAGGCACTTACGGAGAGGGCCTGTCGCTAAAAGTATGTTTGGACACATATACAATTAATGTGTTTGTGTTCCAGCATACTAAATTATTTTTTAATTTATAAAATGATAAATATATAATTAATTTTGTTAATTATTTTTATTGAAGCACTTATGTCACCATAAGTATGCCTGACTGATCATAGACACATTTAATGTGTCCATGTTCAAGCATATATTAAATTAGTTTTTAATTTTATTAAATATTTAATTATATAATTAATTTGCAAATTTTTATGCAGGCACTTAGGGTCACCATAAATATGTCTGGACACAAATACAATTAATGTGTTTGTGTTCATGCATATTAAATTATT